TGGTGTGACTCAGAAAACCTAAACATCTTCGAGAAAACGTAAATCAGTGTACAAATTGCCTAAATTGTGGATAAAGAGATGTGTGTTATTGATTGAAATGTTGCGACTCCAATCATTGGTCCTTAAGTGTACTCATCCTTAAAGACATTTAAAATGACTATGAAAATACAGAAGATACGATTCTTTTCATAAAACGCACTTGAAGTGTATGGAGTAGCCCACACACATTAAGACACCAATATAAAAACTAAAGCAGTGAATCTTCTAGTACTCATACAAGTAAGCTACAAGAGAAAATAATAAGTGAAGGGGAGACATACAATTTGTTGGCGGCAAGAACAGATGTACAACAATGGAAACTGACAGGAAATTACAATAAGCACGGTAAAATCTGTTAAACGAGGACTACGTGGAGCAGAAATGTATACACTCAAAGATGCTCCGTGCACTTGTAAAGAATGCTGCAAGCAGTTACATGCATAAGACTAACTTAATAGGTCTCTGGTTGTGGATACAAAAAACGGGCGTAGACACATCCACAGAGACTAAACTCACGTGTAAGAGCGACAAATACACCGCCACAAGCTTTCACTTGCGATTGCAATTGCTTGTGGCATGCCACATGCATGGTTTCCATTCACAAGGCAATTGTGTTTGCTTCTCTTTGCCACAAACATGTGTCTGTATACACACATACTTACAAATGTGTACACAGTAGCACTCTACAAGCTATTCTTAAATGCTTCGCCACACTCGAGCTGTGTGTGCCTAGTTGCAATAATAGCTGCATATATACACTTAATAAAACGTGATAAATTGTTCCTTGTTGCCACACATTTCCACATGCTTTCACCCATTTATTCATTTACTTTATAACAATTTTCTCTTTTCCACTTCTTGGTCACAACTCAACGTGCAACAGTTGTTCTGCAGCCTCTTGGCATTATTCCTCTCTAATCTGACGGGCATCTACACACATTGGCCGAAGGAGAAGGCGCAACGAAAGGCGTTCATCGAGACGCGGCAATGCATTGAGGCGCGTTTGCGTACGCAGCGCGAGAATCAGCAACAGGTGAGTAGTCGCAATTCTTATTCACTCAAAAAGGTCTCACATCTTAAAAACGGTGAGAGTGTTATATTTGTTTGCCACTTGTCAACATGCAAACAGTAGGAGTGATAGTGCTTGCGGGGAGCTTCTGAAAGTGGCTCGTAGAAATTTTTTAACTAAATAACTCTCAAATTTTATAAAAATTAGTTATGAATCCAGTGCAACAAAATAAAAAAAAATTGTATTTAACTTACAAAAAAAAAAAGTATTTGCAGAATTTATTGTACTTTTATAATCGCTGATGCATTTTGTAAAATTTTGGATTGATCAACGTGGTCGATCTCTGGGAAGACCTCCGAAAAAAGGTGTCTGGCGGTGAAAATATGTTTCTGCTTAAAATTATCTTAAACCCAAAAACCACAAAAAAAAATTGTGATAACAATAAATGAATATAGGTAATGATCGAAAGACTAGTCAAATGTTTGATTTCCAAAAAAAAGTCGTTATTTCAGAAAAAAATGTACACTTCAGAGTGGCTTAAAAATTATTATCAAAAATCTTATATCTTCGATCATTACCTGCCAAATATATTTCAGAAGGTCGTGTAAAAATTTCAAGTCGGTCGGAGAAATTTTCACCGAACAGCGTTTTGAAAAAACGCGTTTCAAGTTTTGATTGCCGATTACATTAGTTAAAAAAGTTCATACAATTATGCTCTTATTTCCAAAAATATTTGTCAGATCAATTTCGAATTTTGCGAGAATATTTAAAAAATTTTATATATCCAATATATATGTAAAACCAAAAATCAATTTTTCGAAATTCACAAGTTGATATAACCTCTTAAACCATTCGACTATGACGCCAAGCAATTCGAAAAGTATATTTAAGTTAGGTCAGTCTTCATTTGAAACATAATATACTTAATAGTTTTTCTCTAAGCATTTTACATAGATATTACCAGTCTTCGTTTGAAAAAGTAATGGAATCTTACGACAATTGAGAAAAATATTTCCTATGAAAAAAGAACGTAAGAACCTTGAAAACCAATACTGGGTATAACCGAATATATTTAACCGCACAATGGTTTGCCTTTTTTTTTTAAATAAAGCTACACTATTAGAGAAATTTGAGTGTTGACCTAACAAATTATTTTTTCTTTCCGATTCCTCTAAACTGGCCAACAGCTAGTAAATTAAATCCACATTTCTCTGCAAGGCCTTCATTAGGAGTAATTTTCCTCATTCGCTCTGAGCTCTTGCGTTCTATTCACGTCGATTGCAATTTTTTGCTCTTTCGCTCGGCATTGTTTGTTGTCAGTGGTGCCGGTTGGTAAACTCACCAGCCACACATTGTTTTAGTGCATTGCTCCCTGGGCGAACAGGTACGAATGCACATCGCTAGCGCGTGGGTGATTATACGAGCATCTGTGCGTGTGGGCGTGAAAATGTGGGAATTTTCAACGCACACGCATATGTGCGTTTGCTTTTGTTTTTACTCAAAAGCTTAGCTTTCTATTCTTCTTTTGTGCATTCTGCCTAAGGGCGTGCGGGCGGGTTCCGCACAGTTGACACCTCGCATTGCACAAATCTGCGGTTTTCCACTACACATCATTCACCGGCAGCTTAACACATGTTTGCAGCTATTCATGCCACCATTTTGGCTTTTATGTCACATTGCATATACACAGCTAACCAAATTATCGGTGAGGATTTGCAGAGGATATGCAAGGGATGCGTAAAGAGGATAAACAAGAGATGTGCATTCAGAGGAAGTGAAGTAAAGGAGTTTTCTAGAGCTTACGAGTAATAAATATTCATTTAGTGAGCTTTTAATGCTCGCATCAAAATCTAATTTGAATAGTCACATTATATTGATAAATATATAAATTTTAAACAAGGAGACATACGTTTACATCCTAAACAAGGTCATGTTGCCGTGGGCTGAGGAAAATTTGCCTGTTATATGGAAATTCCAACAATATAACGATTCCATGCACACGGTGCACCAGTGGTGCGCTGTCAAAGTCTTATAACGTCAATGCTCAATCGATGTGAAGCAGTATTAAAGCAAAAGGGTTATGCAACAAAATACTAACTGAAAGTAAGCAAATTTATATAGTACTATTATTTTTTGCTAATAAAATTTTTTCGTTTCTAATTAGTTGTCGCACTCAAATCGTTGATTCCACATATTTTGGTATAAAACTTTGTAATATAAACGAATTTTAAATACAATTTTTGCTATTAGAGTTTATGTTTATCATATGTTTTAATAAAATGAGTGAAATAACTATAAATATATGTGATTTATTGGATTTTCAAATACTGTTGCTCGTAGTCCTCTGTCGGTGGTTGGTCAGCTTCTTCGAAAGCAAAAATAATGTAGAGTGCCAAAGAGGAACAACAACAATAAGTTTTTGAACATATTTGGTATATTAAGTATAGGAAAAGAGTTATAGTCATGTGTTTGTTTTTGCAGTCAATTTTTACCAAATAGTTTTTTACAGTTTAGCAAGTTGATAAGCCTTAAAAACCCGGTTATATTACCTAACTCTGTTCTGCTTCTAAAGAGGGAGCAATGTCATAGTATATACGGCTTTTTGTACTTTGTTATTTCTAATATTTTTGATTAAAAATCGTCCCCTGTAGCTTCATTCCGTTTTATTAAGAAGAATATGCTGTTTTTTTTTATTTTTTGCGAATTTTTAAGTCAAGACTTGCACCACTCCCAGAATAAGTTGATGACACTTACATATTTTGACTCATATTTATACACCTCAGTGTTCAAAGTTTTATGTGTGTATGTATGTGAGCGATTTTTGCTTGACCTTCACTTCGCCTTGACTTTTCAAATTTGAAGGCGCTGCAAGTACCTGATATGCCATATTTTGTTTCACATGTAACCCGAAAGCCCATTTTTATAATACTACAACGAAACCAGTAGTCACAGTTCAACGAAACAAAAGTGCAGTAGCGGCTGGTTCGCCGATGGTGTTGCAATTTGATTTCAACCAACAATGAGAAGGTAGCGCAAAAGAATATACAAAGTAACTTGCATAGCGTATACGAGTATATGATATATGAAGAAATGTTTGTACATGTGTGGGTTTTGTGGGTATGGGATCGCGTAAGCTGAGCAGTTTTGCCTGAAGCCAAGTGTACCAAAAGACGCAAAAGTCGCCAAGTTGCCGCGAAAGCACATAAGTACATAAGTAAAAAAAGTTCAGAAAGCAAATAAAACTTTAAAAAGTCGCTGCAACAAAAAGTAAAACAAGTTATAAAAAGAGTTTCACCATTCTTTTGCTGGTGAATTTTTCTTCGTCAATATATTGTTCTTTTCGTAATATGTAAGCATCTGTTTGCATTCACAAAGAAAAACAACGCTTTTCTTTACTCTTTCAATATTTAATAAACGTTACTTGTTACATTTCTGTCATGATTCATGAAACATGCATTTCTGTACAAAAATTATTTTTTTGATTTGATTTTCCCCTCTTCAACCTCCATTGAATTTATTTTGGTTTCAAAGGCTGTTTAATTTCATGAGTTTGTTTTTTGTTTTTGCATTGCCGCAGGAACGTCTGCTGCTGTCGGTGTTGCCGCGTCACGTTGCCATGGAAATGAAGGACGACATTGCAGGGCAGCCACGTGATACGCAGTTTCACAAAATCTATATACAACGACACGAGAATGTCAGGTGAGTCGATGGTGTAACAACAAAAAATTATATATAGTAAATTTTTGGTCAAACTATCTTCTTTTATATGATCCAGAACAGATTCATACAAACCAAAATATGAACAGTTGCAAAAGAATCTGTATTTTTTGTTGTTTCTCGCTCGAGAAGATGATTGATTATAGTTTTTTACATGAAAGAGAAAAGCCGAGTTGATTTGAAACTTTGTGAGACAGTTATCCTGAGGTCCCAGTAAATGTCCTTTTCCAGCTTAAAAAATTTGATAATAATTTCATCAACTTCGTGATAGTCCTAAGACAGTCCTTGAATAGAGAAATTGTAGCAAATCTATAGTGCCATTACATACTCGTACACACTCCCTCTGAGGTATCTGTACCGTAACACGCTTTTACCAATTTGGTGGCGTGAACAACAATTTTCTTACAATTTCCTATTGCCACGCAACACTCTCCGACTTCAACAACAAAAGTGTTATGAGTTAAGCTGTATATGACCCATGGCACACACATTTCGCCTATTTACCAGCGCCATGTGGGAAGGGCGCCAAGTGGGGAGCCTAAAAAAGCGCAAAATAAAACGCGTCAAGGTGATTACTATGTGAATTGCTCTTTTCCTGTTTTCGGAATTGCCACTTTGGAAGAAAACTGAATATGCGCGAGGGGAGAACACAAATAAGTTCGTAGATAGGTAATTTCAACGACGCCCTTTCGACGCCATAGGCAACTCAAGAGAATGAGCATTCATGAATATTTGTGGATAAGTGGGTGTCAGCAACAAAAATCTCGTGAGAGATGTAGTCGCAAAAGAAGTGCCTGAGATAAATTTACGTCTGCGAATCTTGTACGTTAAAATGCGGATCATATATGTATACCTATTAAGCTGTTCAATATTTCAGTTTCGAAATATTTATTAGTTATGAGTGGCCCATCCACTAATTACATTACTAATTAAAAGAAAGCTCATTGCATGTGTGTAGGAAAGAAGGGAAGTTTGGAGGGAAATGTCGACATTTAAACCAATACGTATAATTCAAAGCTGGGTATCTCAGTGAGCTCAGTGATTTAAGGATTACAAAATCTAAAGTCCAAATACTTTTCTTAGCGAAAGGCTGGACGATCCATAAATTAAAGAGACTTTGTTTGCTCGATGATTTTTATATTATGATAAAAGCCTTCAAATGGGTGGGAATCTGAGTTAACAAATATTTATTTGCCTTAGCACGTGTTATATTAACAAAACTTGATTCCAAAAACTATAACTAGAAGAATACCTATATTTAGAAAGGCTTGTGTGGCACAGTTGTCCTGTTGCCCAGTGTGTGCATGAATACACAAATACAGAGTATATTACACATACATTATTATATTGCCAATAACTTTAGGTTATATTTAGCATGTTCGCTGATTTGTTTAGTCATTTGTAATTATAGTTGGCGCCACAGTATATACAGACAGTCGTGCTGGCTCCAGGCCCACTCATGTCCTTTCAGGTGATTTGCTACTTATTTCAATTTCCAAGCCAAACCCTTGATTTTTCCAAGCAATTAAGTATTGATTATACGTACTCCAAGAGTTGTTGTATGGCAGAACACAAGAAGTGTGTATGTAGCTGTGTATGCAAAGTAGGAAACAATGGAAAAATTATTCTTTCCCCAACATGTAGAAATCAAAATTGTTAAAAATTTGATTTGAGTTTAGCGTAGCATATTTTTAAATTATTTTAACGCGGATGTGTGTATACAAATATAATTTTTCATATACCTATGACTTCGGAAATGATAATTTGGTTAAAATTTGTGTCTAAATCATTCTCTTACCGCTTGAGAAGTTCGAAAAAGTAATAGACAACGCAGTTAGACTTAGGTCTACTTTGGCCTTGTATTCAGAAAATAGGCGAAACGAATTTTAAAGGACTAAATTAAGTAAAAATACCTGAAAGATAAAATATAAGCTTTTTTATAATTATTAATTTTTTACCATATACTAGGTGTGTTCAAAGAAAAAGGTGAATTTTGAATTTTTTTTGAAAACCACTTATTTATTCATCAATATCTATTTTCCCCCTTAAATGTAGTCCCCCTCGAATATAATACACTTATGCCAATGCCTTTTCCAATTCCCGAAGCACTTCGCTTTTCGGTATTGCTCTTTCTTCGATTCTGACATGATCTCATCAATTGTGGAAAAACACTTTCCTTTCGTTGCTTTATTCAGTTTTGGGAATAGGAAAAAAACGCAGGACCAATTACGACCCCGATCGTTGTTGACGTCATTCAACAACTCCTAAGCGATACTAACACGACATTGCTTTTTATCAAAATATAGCAATTTCGAATTAAACTTTGCTGCCACACGTTTCATGTCCAAAACATTCGAGAAAATTGAATGGCTTGAGCCGATTGATATGCCAACATCCTCTGCATCTTCCCAAATAGTGATTCGATGATTTTCAAGAACAGTTTTTTCACTGTTTCAACATCTTCTCGGCCTTCTGTACCACTTATAAACACTTTTTTTTAAAACAAAGTGGACTCACCGAATCCACAGTCAACATTTCTATTGCGTTGGAGCACTTTATTCCATTTCTAACGCAAAGTTTAATACATATTCTTTAATCCATTTCTTTCAAAAGTCAAAAATCAAAGAGCACACAAAAACGTGCTTAATCTTGCTATTGTCCGAAACAATATACTAATCGAAATTGGCTTCTCATACAAGTACATGATAAACATATGTGTCCGATTATAACAATAATAAAATATCAATAATCGAATGTATACAGCCCGCGAAAAATCAAAATTCGTCTTTTCCTTTGAACACACCTCGTATACTTCCAAGCTAAGATGGTGCATCCTGCTTAAGAACTCTTATAGTACCCCGAATTTCAAGTATCGGTCGAGGGTTTCTGCACGACGTTTCAGAAGTTGCACAAACAAAACTATTTGTACTGATGAACTTCATCGTAAAAATTACGGAGTGGTTCAGATAGAAAACAATAGAGTGAGGGAAAATTACTCCCGGTGGTATCACAATGGGCCTCCTATAGGTCAAGGTACGTCGTCAGACAGCCACTACCTACCTACCTAACCCCGGACTGTATAACTGTATAAAGATTTTCCACTGTTTTGATTATTGATATTAGACTATCATAGACCATTATTCTGCTAAAATATACATAATAATTATTTAGATTTTTTCTTTCTCTTACGCAATAGCATTCTCTTTGCGGATATTTGTGGTTTCACCAGTCTCTCTGATCAATGCACCGCTGAGGAGTTGGTCCGATTGCTCAACGAATTATTTGCCAGGTAAAATTATATACTGTTATTTTCAATAAAAGGGTTTGGAAATACATTTATATAAGGAATAACATATATAAGGAATTGATTTAGTTTTTTTTTTATTCGGGAATACAGCCAAACGCGAAGAATTAGCAAATGCAGCTTGGCAAAGGAAGAGGAGATAGATCAAAAAATGTGAATAAATATACAGTTAATTAATTGTAGACCAGTTTTTTTCGATCTCCGCTTTTTTATAATCACTATAAAATTGTTGACAACTTACTCTGCATCTACCTCAAAATAGTTCTCAGAATCCTACTTGGCCTCATCCTCAATAGAAATGATAATATTTATTGTAAATATTTTGTTAGTTCCATCTTTAAATGTTTACCAGCGTATACACACACATTTTTAATGGCAGGTGTGTGTTGAAGCACTCATGAGCCCTAAATACACAAAACGATTTATCTTGATCAACAAAGCAAAATAATTAATTGTTATACCGTAATAACACGCGATAACAAATAATTAAACATAATTTGCTTTTAAATTGTTTCAGGTGTACGCACAAATAATAAGTCACATATGTCGCTCACACATAAGGTAAAAATCCATTTGTGTGAGTTAAGCTGTCTAATCGCCACCTTCGGCATTGCAAAATGATTAATAATTCGACGTGTGTCGAGACGATGCACAAGTCATTTGAAAAGTTGTCAAAAGGCAACAATAGAGGCCAAAATGTTCAGTACACTCATAAATAAGTGCATAAGGATGGTTCTTATATAATATGAATGAGAAAATTTCTGCAGCAAAAATATACAAATTAAAAATCAAAGCTTTCATGTTACCTTAAAAATCATAGTGAATCTTCACTTTGTATATTAAAATGTATATGTGTATATTATAATTTTGGATATCTCTACTACCCGATTATTTATCAGTATAACCGTTTTTTTTTTAAATTTCCCAATCATGTAGATTTGATCGATTGGCCGCTGAGCATCATTGTCTGCGCATTAAACTTTTGGGCGATTGTTATTATTGTGTCTCTGGACTACCGGAGCCGCGACCGGATCACGCACACTGTGCCGTAGAAATGGGCTTGGATATGATTGATGCAATAGCGTAAGTGCAAAGCGGCTTATAAATATAATTTGCTTATATCAACATCTTCCAAGAAAATAAGAAAGAAACAGAAAGTCGTGCATGTGATTAGGGAGAATTTTATAAGAATGATTGAAATTGTAACATACAATTAGGCGTTTGAGCACGTTTTGACACTTGAATATGGTACACCAGTGCCATAAAGGTTCCATCGACATGCAAGCTTTACTGTGAATATTTTTTAGTATTTTTATCAAATAAGAAATTTAGAAATATTAAAGCAAATTTAATGAACAAAATATTATATATTTTATAATTATGTAGACTGCTTTTGTTTTACCAAAAAAAAAGGAACGATTTTTATTCACCTTTTTTTTGTCAAAAAATATAAAATTTTGTCTCAATTTCTCGAATTTTCATATTTTCGCCCTAAGCTCTTCCTTTTTGTGTCGAAATTAAAGTTTTTGTATACATTTTTTCTGACCGACATTGCTTTTATTTACTCAAAACCGTAGGCTTGTTCGCGAAGTGATGGCTGTCAATGTAAATATGCGTGTCGGCATCCACACCGGACGTGTACATTGTGGTGTACTTGGTTTGGTCAAGTGGCAATTTGATGTGTGGTCGAATGATGTGACACTGGCCAACCACATGGAAAGCGGCGGCATACCGGGGTAAGTGTTTAACGCCAGAAATTTGCACAAAATAAACAACATAACTGTGTATATATAAACATAGCACATGTACATATACTTACAAAAACATATATACCCATGTATGCAACTGAAGTTCGGTGGCACTTTGATTAGTAAGTGCAAACAAATTTAATATAATATTGAAAGTGAACGCTAAATTTTGACATCAATCTCAATCATTTAATTTATAAAAAGTAGTTTTTCAATTCATATAAAATTACCGTTTTATTTTGTATGCTTAAGAGAATTTTGCGAAATGCACGGATCACGCATGTACAACAGTCCATCTTGTGTGACTGACAGCGAACACAATAACCAAAATTAACTGGCGCAAAAATACCTCGCCTCGCAGTTTAGTGCAAAGTAGAGCACACTTTTCCGTGGAGTGACGCATTGGCGTAGACGAGGTGGCAGGTGCACGCGCTGTAATTCAGCAATTTCATGCTAATTTCATACTAATTTCGCACCTAATTTTCCCACTCACTCATTTGGATGGAGAAGACAACAAGTACTTACATAAGTTTTTTTTTATAACTGTCTGATTTAAAAATATAAAATGCTATAGCATAACTATATAATGAGAATTCCAAATAATGGGGATTACGCCATTATGTCACCAAATTCACACCAAAAGGTCGCAACATTTTTTGCAGTGCACTGAATTTTTATTAATTAAATAATGATATGTTATGGCATTTTCGGACAAAATGATGGATATTGCAAAGCTTCTAAGGACTTCAATTTTCAAAATTATCATTCCAACTATAACTGGCGTATACAATTTTTGGTTCCTAATTTCGACGAGAGATTATCAACTATATATCTGAGAGCAGCGCACCTTTCTCTCCATCAAGTTGAGAATATGTTTGCTTTTTGACAAGATCGCATTCAGAAACTCTATAATAGTGTTTCTTTGACTTTTTGTAGATTCGAAGATACCCACGAAAGTTCAATTAGCACCAGTCGATTTCTGTCAGCTGTACTATGAAAAATAGATAGATAATTGTAACACCTATCTCAACTTATTGTTGTACGAAAATGTTGCTTACTTCAGATGGACAGATTAATGGGTGATCTAGTTCGATTACTCGCAAAGCACAGTAAATTTTCAAAGAAAAACTGCTTTTCAGATTAGAGGTCAGTGGAGTTTAAAAATTTGTTTAAGATTGTACGTGAAGTTTTACTTTGATAGAAAATGGATGTGGAGTTTTGTTATATTAGATATATGTAGGGAAAAATTTATCATTACTTTGAAGAGTTTTCATAATTTGTTATCTTTTTTCTGGCGATATGAAATTACAACCAAGGTTGAAGATACCTAAGGCAAAATTGTTGAAGATTTCGTGATAGCAGCAAGATATTTTCAGGCTAAAATAGTGCATCTAAATTTAACTGTTGCCCACCCGTAGACTACCTTCCCTCTCTCCAGTGTAGTTTTACATAAATCTATATTGTATATATTTATATATACCTATATATATGTATAATATAATCGCTCAATAATACAAAGAATATATTTTGGTGATTTTCTTCCGTAATCTCCTGCAATCGACCAGTAACAACTCTGTATGTTAAGTCACCAATGGTAGAATTAAATTATTCCACTGAATCTACAAAACAAAATGTAGCTCGCGTGATTTCACAAACGCTTCAATATCCACACAGGTGGGTGGTTGTGTGAAATGCAGCGTTTTTTAATACGCGTTATGAGCATAAAAAGCTCGCTCGTACATAATAATTTTTTATTAACACAGGTTGCTTTGTAACGCTCGTCAAATGGTTGTAAATGTGTGGAGTTGTGAAATAAAATCATTGTCATGCAACAGCCGTGTGACTATATTACGATGCGGGTGCTGTCACGTGGCCGATAAACAAAAAAATGTTCGGTTGACGGATGAAAATCGATTAAATTTCTTTCTTATTAAATTGAAAAAATAAAGCCGTTTCAATTTCACTTTTTGCTCACAAAGAAAATCGCTTACAGCTCATTGGTCAGCTCGTGCTAGTGGCGGCGATTACATGCTACGTAAATGCGATTTTTTAATCGTGAATTAAGTGGCATAATGTCAGCATGATGCGCGTGTCTTCTTGCCATGGACACGAGGTGGAAATGTATATGCAAATATATTTCTTTTGTTTACAGATAAATACTCTTGACTGTATTATTCATTCGCTGAGCTTTATTTGATTAACGTATTGGATTAATTGCGCTTTTGTTTGCCAAAACCGCTTTAAGGTTGCAACGAAGTCGGCTTTAATTTTCATTTCCAATGAATTTTAAAACAAATGAATTTTAAATTCCATCAAGATCCGTATTCTCATGGTACATAATTTTATATATCCTTGTATTTAATCTACATGTGCTGTAAAAAATGCTCACATGGATCACATGGATCTTTTGCTGCCGCATTTCAGATATTTGCCATAATGGAATGTGCCTGTGAATATATGTATGAATTTCAGCTAATTTACTATAAAGTACTCAATTTCATGTTTTATTAAGCGTGAAACTGAAATAAGGCCAACGTATTGGCCAAATGGATTGTGTGGTACGTGCCGAAGCGAGATGAGTTTACGATTGCGTGTGTGAGTGCATGTAACGGGGTCATGCGTGTATACGAGTTCAATCACGTGCATAAGTGTGCTTTTGTTGATTTACAATGTGCTGTCGAGCAACTCAACCGCAACAGGCGTTTACAACGGTAACGATAACAAGATAAAACCGACAGACATATGTTCATAAATACTGAAATTAGTACTGGTTAACGCTGCAACAACAACAAAAGGCCACAAATACACTAAAAAATGGCATTGTAAACACTTGGCAACAACAAAGAAAATTTAATCCTGATTATGGTTGGTTATTTTAGGCTCAGCCAACAAGCGAGTATGTTGCCTTTTTAATCTTTTTCCAATTTGTTAAGTCCTTGGCTTATCGCTTCACTGTTGAAATAACAAAATCATGCCGAAATTGAAAGGTACCATCAGCTTTGCTTAAGAAATAATAAAAACCGAAATCCACTAAAATGAAATCAGCAAAGTGACCTTTTCATTACCTCAAAGAGAAAGCTGAATTATTTTGTAGTATTTGAACTAAGTTTGGCGGCCGTGACTGGGTATTAGACGAGAAGTGCAAAGAAAAAGTTTTTGGCACACACTCTTCGAAAAATTATTTCACTTATGTTTTAAACTTTTCAACTTTGAGTACGACTTTCGAATTATCATAGACAAAATATGCGTGGGGTCTTCAAACGTGAATTATATAACATTTAAAATTGTAAAAGTTTAAAAAACGCTTTTCAAGAATTGCATGTGGGAGAACTTAAGGAAAAGTGTACAGATAAAATTACTTATTGGCAGGAGTTGGTATTATGATATATTGATATACTTGTAGAACAAAGAATTTAATATGGGTAATTAAGGTAAACTAAATTATAATTTATTTGGTATTTTAAGTAACTTACCTTACTCTGCCGTAGACGTTCCAAGAGAGTAATACTGGCAAGTCATGCCTTCATTACGGAATTCTTTAACTCGTTCATGTTACACATAATTGCTGACAGAGTCAAAAGCTAACTTCTAGCTAAGAGGTTAAAAGAATAAACAAGGTATACAAAATCCGCGTTATGGAAGTCTTTAACTAGAATAGCTAGCTGTAGGCATTATGGTATATCAATCGCAATCTCTGGCTGCATTGTAAAAAGTATAAACTCAAGATGTTCATTTAATGGATTGATCTCATAACTTGAAGGGTTATACCCATTAGAAAGTAAAAAAAAACCGTTTTTCGCGTGTTTTTGTTCGGTAGGAATTTTATATAAATAAATAAAAATAATGTACATTTACATAATTTAATGTACTTTAGTATTTGGTGATTGCAAATACATACGAACATATGTCCGAAACTGTTTGTCGGATCAAATTCAAATTTTCGCAGAATATTTTCAAATATAATATATTCAATTTCGATATATTATATATGCAAACAAATAATTGAGTTTTCGAAATTCACAAGCAGATATAACCCCTTAAATGAAGAGTCCAATATTTGGTAGTCTCATTTTGCATTATGCAAGGTCTATAGACCTGAAAAAAATATCAACGCCAGTGAGAATGTAAAGTTCAAAGCGAGAACTCGAGAAAGAATGCGTCGAGGCTTGAATGTAAAAGCAAAGAATATTGAAAGCCATAGCGTTATAACAAAATTCAAAGAACTATTTTACAAAAAAAAAATTAATTCATTACTAAAATCAATAAGATTTAATAATTCGTTTTTAATAAAACTAAAATAAACGGTAAAGTGGGCTTTTCCCTTATTAAATTTATGTTTTCCGGTCGTTGACCTGTCTTTCTAATGTTCACACAAATAAAGACGACTACAATACGGTTATCAATATTTCTACAACAAAACATTTCAGAGTGTCTATCTTTGTTGTGTGAGTGTGTAATCGTTGACTATCTCCCATCGAATGGAGGCTTGCGTGTGCCAATATCGATTTTTAGTTTGGAAAATTCAAGCATACTTTAAAATAATTAGAACAGTTATACCACAATCACATACTTGCTGACTTTATAGCATGTCTGTGTGAAGAAATCTAAGCAATCACTTAAACTAGTTTGATTTCACTTTCATTAGCTTAATTTAATTTTAAACTAGCATAGTTTTGCAAACTGAACACAACACGCACACTTCGGTAGCTTAAAATTCGAACAGATCAAAAACACAGGCACACCCACCAGCCCTTCAGCGAACTCTGTTTGATTCGTTGGCGTTGTCGGCACGAAATCAATTTCTTGCCTTGTTGGGCGCTCGAGTGCTTTAATGGCCATTAAAGTATAAAAGACGAGATATAACACAATTTAACGACGCCGCTTAACAAAAGCAATAGCAGCAAAGCGAGCTCAGCAACCACATGGTCACGCTGTTATGTGAAAAGTTGAAGAACTCTCGAAGTTGTTTATGCTTCCGCTTGGGTTTG